CGCCTTCACTTCACATGTGTCCCCGTCGTCATCTAACGTGTGTCCCTTCTCCTTCCTAACACATGTTTTGAGCATAATTCGTGATCAACCTATTTACTTCTCGATTTTGTTGTCTTTTTCTACCTAACTAGAAACAACTTGGTTCCTTCATCAAAGTTCTAAAATTTTAATCTAGCTTTATGCAAAAATTATTTTCGTTCAAATTCTTAATTGTAGAGAGAAATAAACATGTTCAAATTAGGCTCAAAACACTTAAACTTACCATTCTTGACCATTGTCGGGACTCTGATCCAATTCAACTCTAGTTTTGTTCACAAAATATGTGCAAAATACTCCTTAGAATAACATACATGACCTTAAGAAAATCTCTTTGAATCAAATTAAAAACTTGAAACCCTTACCTCTCAATCTTTCCGGTACGATTCAAATATTTAGATGGAATAATTTCAAACTTTTTGAGAAACTTTCCTGAAAGAGCCCTGGCCAGAAAATGACTCATTGTGGCATGATCGAACTACCTCAATGGTTAAGTTTCTTTCCTCCCACCCTTTTTCTCTCTATTTTTTTTTTTAATCTTTTCTTCTCCCTGATGGTTGACTTTAGCTATATATATTTTTTTTCTTTCTAATTTCTTTACTATTTAAAAGTTAGAATTTTAAGAAGAAAAAAAATTGGGCAAGTCCATGAAAGTGTTTTTAATAAATCTCTTTAAATGATTTTTGTTTTGCACATTTGGGCATGCCATATCTGTGATAACCACTTTATGAATATATTACATTAGCAACCTCATATTAGTTGCACCGTGACAATATCAAATTTAAAATAAAATAATCAAAACTATTATTAAAAATGAAGAGGGATTAAAAGACATAAATACCAAAAGAAGAAAAAGAGGCTAAAAGTGGTTGGATCTGGCGGTGGAGGGAGGGGAGTAGCTAGTGGAGAGTAGGTCGCACAGAAGAGTGTGGTGATGATGTTGTCGATTGAAGGCTGAGAGTTAAGTACACGTGATAAAGTTTAAGTAATTTCATGAATTTGGAGATTTGAATTCAAGAACATAAATTCTGGGTTGTGTAGAATAAATCTGAGTAAGTAAATAAAATAAAATAATAAAGCCAAAAGTGTGACTGAATATATATACACAAATACATACATTGAACTAGTGGACAGAGTAAATATGCCCCCCACCCCACCCCACCCCACCCCACCAGAGATATAATAAGCACGTAATCCAATATACGCCTCGAACTGTCATTTCTATGAGGGTACATCAACAGTAATCCAAACATTCTCATCCTCAAATGGGTTTTAAAGCGCTGATAAAAGGGCATCAACATCATGAACAGTTAAGGATTTGGAGTTTTTTGGTACCAAAAGTGATGGAACCAATAGTAACTACAAAAAAGAGGTAAGAGGTAAGAGGGAAAGAAGAGAAGGGGCCTGTGATGATGTATATCATTTTTTGTACTAACAATGAAACCCATTATTCGAGAAACCCCTTCGAAGTGTTACTTTCACGATGTGTAAAAAGGCATCAAGGAAGAGAATAGGGAACAGAAAGCCCACACTCACTGCCATCCATTTACTCCTCCTCTGACTCCCACTGTTCATTCTAAAATATATGCATTTTTGCATGGGTCACTTATTTTGGGCATCTCCCAAATAAATATGCAACTCCCTTCTAATGCTTTAATCACCTTTCTTTCTACTTTCGGCTACTTTACGAACCTCAAATGGACTCTGGGAACCATTCTACAGACCAACCACTCCAACTAAAACAGGAGGAAGAAGACGATGGCGTGGACGGAGGAGAAATGCTGCGTAGGAGAATTTCTAGCCACCCCTTATATGGCCTCTTACTTCAGACTCATCTCAACTGTTTGAAGGTGAGTTTAGCTATTTGTATTCATGATAAAACTTAGTAGTCATTTGTTATACGTTGTGCGTTCAGGTTGGAGGAATTGGTGAATTGGACCGAGGTTATTTAGCTATGGATTTGATGGAACACCGAGAAAACGAGATCAGATGCTTGAATACGCTTAACCAATCGGAGCTAGATCGCTTCATGGTATGCTATTAACTCCATATCATTCGGAATTCGAACTTTATAATAAGCATCACGTTTGAATCATTGGATGTTACAAGTCATATGCGTGGTTGACACATGACTTAATCTTTGCATAATTTATTAGTCGTCAAACCTTTTTAGGGAAAGTTACTAATCGTGGAGCATTTTTAAGAGAAGAATTGTTAAGTCATGGGTCCTAAGTTTTATTTCAAAAGTCGAGGATTGTTGTTGCGAGGGATTTAGAGAATGATCATGGGTTTATAAGTAAGTAATACGTTTCCGTTGGTACGAAGTATTTTGGAAAAACTCAAAACAGAGTCATGAGAGCTTAGGCTAAAAGTAGATAATATCACGAGAGTAGGGTTTGGTTTTAGTTTGATTGTGATGTGGAGTTTAGGAATGGGAAGGAAATTATAGGGTGCGTTGAAACTGAAGGAGTCATGTGTACAGGAAAGCTATTGCTATGCATTGAGCAAGCTGAAAGAAGCAATGGAGGAATCTCAGTTAAAATCGATGGCATTCATAAACAGCATGAACTCGCAATTAAGGGAGCTAACGGCGACGGGTGCAGCAGCCAAGAAACCCACCGCCGCCTCATCTTCTGCTGCTACTAGCGACACAAAGTGAAGGCAATTAGGAAGTAGAGTACATAACGGACATGAGTTGTTCCCTAACCCACCCTACCTACTTGTGGAGTATGGACCGAGGTCTCTAACAGGGATATGTAAGAATGGCTGTAATATGATCAGCAGCATCTATTTTTGACATTAAGTAGGGTAATTTGGCTGCGTATCTAGACCATATTAATGCTTGGGGATAATAATATTGATCTATATAACTATAATTCATGCAAAATTATTCACGTCTATTATGGTAGTTTAACAGAGTGTTTATATCTAATTCAAGCCATAACGGTTGAGTTGGTAGTTTTTTGTCCGACCTTTGGCCAACTATAAAATAGATTTACAACTTAACTATATTTTAAGAATATTATATCTGTTTTTGTTTTTAAATACGTCAAAAAGAGCGCCTATCGATGCAATTCTTAAATAAACGGTCGGACCGAGTAAAACTCTATTTAAATTATTTAGGTTATTATTGTGAATGAAGTGATTTTAGTGAGAAGTACATTTTGGGTCTAGATATTTCTTCAAATTGTGGTTCTAGTTATTCTCGTTGTTGGGTAAGCTATTGTATCCACCCCTTCTTTGAGCTTTCTTGAAAGAGCTTCAATGAAAATTCTTGATTTTGCTATTTTCTGAAATTAAGTTTATTAATAAATTCTTCTCCTTATTTTAACATTTTTTCCCCTTTTACAATACCTTCAAATTCTTATATAATTTAATAAAAATATTACAATTTGGTTTTAAAAAAATAAAATTACAGTTTTACCCTTCATTATGTTACCGACTTTTCTCATTCTCAAATTCTCTCTCCCTACGAACTTTCTATTGAGATGGTTGGGAGTAAGCCTCACATTGGCTAATTTAGAGAATGATCCGAGTTTAAGTAAAGGAATACATCTTCATTGGTATGAGGCCTTTTGGGAAGCCTAAAGAGTCGTGATTCCTAACATGGATATGAGAGTAGATTCTTAATATGCTCTATGGCTACAACTCTAATCTTCCACGTCATTATCCATGGATTGCGACCAGAATTATCTTCCACATCTAGCTCTCATGGCAATAATGAGTTGGATCATTGATTTAGGATGTTCAATAGCTCTCATGGCAATAATGAGCTTGATCATTGATTCAGGATGTTCAATAGCTCTCATGGCAATAATGAGCTGGATCATTGATTCAGGATGTTCAATAGCTCTCATGGCAATAATGAGCTGGATCATTGATTCAGGATGTTCAATAGCTCTCATGGCAATAATGAGCTGGATCATTGATTCAGGAGGTTCAAACCACATAATTGACGATCAAAGTAGTGCAATGGAAACAGGGTGGGGTGGCACAGGTTGGAAATCAAACTTAGGAACTAGTGTCAAGATCCAAACACTATGATGAAATATTTAGTCTAGTAGCGAGATGTAGGCAGCTTTCGAGGCTGCATTCTTGGTCAGATAATTCCTCTATAGGACCTTGACAAGGCAATGACTTTGTTACTTAGTTCTCAACCTCCTCCCGTGAGAGTATTGTTATGGGCTTTTTTCCATAGGTCAAATCTTCTCTCATGTGAATGATCCAAATTGTACTTGTTTAGAATTGAAACATGAAATACATTATGCATGACACGCATGACAGCAAGGTTAGGTGGCAATGTCATATGTATACTACAAGCCCAATTAGCTCGAAGATATCAAATGGGTACATAAATGTTGGGCTCAACTTGGTTGTTCTTCTTGTCGTACCTAGGCACCCAAAAACCTTGAAAATTTGAAAAATAACTAAAAAAATTCCAAGTCTCAAGCAAATATGCCCTCATTGGATGTTTCTCTCAATTTGAGAAGATCAAATCATCCATGTCACTCCAAATTTAGATATGGCCTATTAGGCACCGCTACACCTTCATCCAACATTTGAAATTGAAGGAGATGGGCTACCGACCTTTAATTTTCAGGCCATGCTTCGTCCTTGAAGCTTTCAATGGCGATGGAGCATTGGGCCATAAAATGGGATGTGAGGGCTACCTTTTGGTACCAACCATTTGAGTTGAGATCCTCTGAAAACCAAGAGCCTAAGTCATTAGTTTTTGGTCAAATTAGAGAGTTATACTCGACCCCTTTGGCTCAAATGAGTCCCTACACACTCAGACAACAATTAGAACCAAACTTGCCCAATAAAGGCCTATACCGTTGGGTTCAAGGGAGGAAGAGGAAGAGTTTTGGTGAAGACATTGAAGAGAAACACGTGTTAAGCAGCAACGGCACGTGGGATCAGACTAAGCTCCCATGTAAACGTAAGAAATTTACACAACAATCCAACACAACCCAGAGGCTCCAAAACCCAAAACATGTAAACAAAGCAACACAGCCACCTTACACTTTATCATGCACAAATATTTCAAATTAATTTTACATTTATCCATATAATTTCCTGGATTCTGTCCCCAAATCTTTCCCCTGTTCCACTTTCTCCCATTGTCTCACAAAAGAATCGATCCTTATTGTCACAATTAAAGCATTGATTCTTATTCCTACACTTAACTTTCCCTCTTTCCCCTTTCTATTTATCTTTAAACTTCTTTGCATCTTAATCCAAGCATGGCAGAAAGAGATGAAGCGCAAGAACACGTCCAAAATCCGAAGGATTTGAAAGAAGAAAAGAAGGGAGCAAGACCATGCTACCCAAAAACCACTCGGCGCTCTGTTTTCGCATGCATATCCATCTTCCTCCTCATAATTGGCGTGGTGGCTCTCACTCTCTGGCTTGTGTACCGCCCCACTCACCCTCAATTCAGGGTGGTTGGAGCCGCAATATACGAGCTCAACATCTCATCTCTGCCACTGCTGTCCACAAGGATGCAATTTACAATCCTTACAAGGAACCCCAACAGGCGAGTTGGGATCTATTATGACAGACTCACTGCGTTCGTGTCGTATAGGAACCAGCAGATAACGCCGCAGGTGATGCTGCCTCCCCTGTTCCACGAAAAGCGGAGCACAGTGGCGATGTCCCCTGTACTAGGAGGTGGGGCGGTGGCAGTGCCGTTGGAGGTGGGAAATGGGTTGGTCACGGATGAAGCGATTGGAGTTGTGGGGTTGAGAGTTGTGTTGTTGGGGAGACTAAGATGGAAAGCTGGGCCAGTCAAGACTGGGCGTTATGCGGTAATTGTGAAATGTGACGTGTTGGTGGGTCTCAAAAGTGGGGTGGTGGGTCAAGTTCCGTTGCTTGGTTTCCCCGCTTGCCAGGTTGATATTTAGGCCATGTGGTTATTACTCATAATGGATGTTTCTAAATGTTGTTTTATTACTTGGTTTGATTTAATAACATATATAGATGTGAGGAGCAGAATAAATTTGTGGCTCTTTCATTGTTGAATGTAAGGAAATGGGGCTTTCAACATGGGCTTCGTATGGAGAAATATAAAGGCCAATATACATATATACAATTGTATGTAATATGAAGAAGATTTGGTTAATAGATGGTGTTGAGGTGTAATGGAAGGGGCATGGGTTGGTGGTGCAAGAATTGAGGTGGTTGTGGGTTACCATTTTGGTGTGAAGCATCCTTACATTTGCGTGTTGGATGTAGGAGGGAGAGACAAGGAGGAGGCGAGAGGGTGAGGTGAGCAAGATGTTGGACAATCCCAACCACCGCAGATATGCTCCCACGCAGTCTAAGAGTACTTGAGTTGGGGTCTACCAATGTGTGCTTTGGACTCTTCTCTTTGCTTCCACTCTCCGCTGTTTCTAACCATCTCTCTCCCGACATATAATATACTCAAATATGGAAATCCCCAAACGCCATTAGTTTAGGCTCCAAATCACGATTCTCTAAGGGGATTCTGTGACTTAGAGGAATGGTAGCTGTGGGAGAACGACGGGAGCACAATTCTTTTCTTTTATCTTTTGGAAGGCAGATGTCTTCACCTCTTAAATTGATTTGAAATCTCTACGCTTTTTTTAACATCCTCTCACACCCTACTTGTATCAAATATTAAATACTTATTCTACTACCAATTGAATCTAATCCCACTCTAAGATACATTTGGCCTTCTTTTTTATTTTTTTAATATGTCCATGTATCAATTGAACTCGTTTAAGTTGCATCTCACTTGAACCGTTCTCGTTCGAATACAGTCCTGGAAATTTAAGGCCAGCTTGGGTCTGATACCCTCGACTCTTTCCTTCTAGTTTCAACTCTCAAAAGTGTTTAAGATTAGTATGACTTGTTTTTAACCTATTTTAAATTAGTTTTTAATGTTTAAGATTAGTATGAATGAAGACTCATTATTTATGCATGTAGCTTAGTTTAAATTATTTTATGCAAAATTAAGTGAGAATTCTTAGTTCTAATTTATGATTGTTGCACTTATCCGGATAATTAAATTTCAGAGCAACCTTAAGTTAGCATCAAGGAGTCAATGTAGGTTCAACCTAGCCCAACCAAGTATCAACATGGTTAGAAATTGATGTTGTATGATAACATGTGCTCCGTGGTTCTGAATGTGCCATCTGCTTGATATGTGTCAAATGGTTATGAAATGATATAACTATGATATGTTATGTAAATGTTATGACACGTGTTATGATGTGATGCGTTTGACGATATATTTGAGATATGATATGTGAATGATATGATATATGTTATGAAACAATGTGTTTGACGATATATTTGAGATATCATACGTGAATGATATGATATATGTTATGATATGATACGTTTGTTGATACGATACATGCATATTGTGATATGCTTTATGATATGATACGTGCATGGTATGACATGATATGTTGGAAGACACAATATACTTGTGATATGACACATTGACATGATAAGATGTATGATATGAATGACAAGCAATAAGATGTTTCGACATGATGCACAACCCCGATTTATGTATGGAAAGCTATGATAAAAATGACATGATATGAAGGAAAAATGGAAGGGCTGTCTTACATGATAATGAATAAAAATGTTGGGACCACATACATCATTGTGTGTTCATGCATCAGGGAATGCCCTTCTTTTATGTTGGTACAAACGCGTACACTACAAGGTAGAAAAAATATCATTATGTTAATCGTAATATTGCGACGGTCACTATACCTAACGGATGTCCGACATCAAAAGCTCCAGAGAATACTCGCTCGACCATAAAAGGGGCCTAGAAGGTGTGCGAACTAACTGGTGGGTCCATACTCAAATGTGTGAAAACAATAAATATATATCTAATTAACTTTTAGGATAGCTGCCTAAGAAAATATAAACGGATGTAATAAGTCCCACTCATAATTCTATATCCTTGCATCTTAGCTTTGCACGTAGAGAGCATCACGAACAATTGTTTCTTCAAAAGCCTCATAAACACCATGTTCCCCAAAAAGAACACAATTCTTGATGTACTCTTTCGATCATCCACATTGCCACGCCAATCATTTTCGAGATATCCTTCTAGCACTAAATATTCAGTTTTAGTGTGGAATAACTCAAAAGATTCCGTCTCTCCAATATATTGCAAGATTCTCTTCACCACTTTTAAGTGCATATATATCGACCACTCACAACTCCAACATTGTAAGAAATATAAGGTCGTGTACATGTGAGACAATAGAGACTCTCCTCTAGATTTCATTATTTATTAGATATCGAGTTACAACCTGTCATTTTATTCCTCTTCAAAATTTCCATTTCAAAATTCCCTATTGCATATACTTCTTGTGACACGAAAATCTCAATCATTTTTTTTGTCTTACCTCTAGTTCAAAGAAGTAATTCATTAGCACAAATATGTCATTTC